GCTAGTACCAAGAAACTAACATCAGTCTTCCCAAAGTTTGCTTATTCTGAAAATTCTCCATTCTTGGCAACATCCTTGTAAATATCCTCTGTAACTCCACTGGATTTTCACATCCTGGCAATAATGTAGTGACCAGAACTATGTGTGGTACTCCACCTGAGGCCTAACTGGTGTTTTATATCATTCTAGCATAACCACCACCCCTGTAGGCAATATTCATAGCTGGATTTGATACCATATGACAGCTCATTGGAGAATTTTATTTTTGCACCACTTTTACTTTGTACCATCTAGAAAAAAGTCACAACCAGTATGAAGTCAATTAAAAACAATTCTAATACCCGGAACTTTTTCTAATATTGATGAAGACTAATCTTCCCATTGCCTCCTCGGTAACGTCAAACAGAACTGCACCTCGTGTGGCAGACTGTTGAGTTTTGCTTCACTAGAAATCCAGGCCAAACTAGCAGCACAGCTCCAATCCGCTCACTTTCAGAGAGTGCAGGTAGATTTTAGGCAAGTACCACCAGGTGAAAAAGGTTGCAATTATCTAAATATACCAATTTTGCATTTAGCAGCACAAACTAAATTGATGTCTGGATTATAATGATGTTTTTGCGTGTTTGCTCATGTTAAGTTGGACGCCATGTTGCAGTCGCTAAGCTTGAATGAATGATGATGGAAACAACATGTAGTCAAGGCCTCTCTGTACAGGTGTATGGGGTTCAAAGTGCAGAATGGTTGGCGGTCCTATACGGAAAATATTACTTGGTACTCTGATTCACACTTGTGCTTCAAACAGATCAAGCTGATTTTCTTTGAAGCTCTGTGGTGAACACAATTATATTACTAACTGCTAGGCATTGGAAAATCACACAAGGGATTCTTTTACCTGAATGGGTAATGTTATTTATTGAAGCTTGTTTGCAAGTTTAGAACAGGGCAGCAAAATATTTTGAAGCTGGACTAGGTTAGTTTTGTGTGTGTTGGTAAAAAGACTGATAATCTCAGCATTGGATAAAAGTATACAATGTGACCACAAAGAGGAGATTTAAAATGCTGCCAGACATGATGCTGTACAAGCACATTTTTCAGGGTTTGACAAGGAAGTCTGAAAACTGCGGCTTGCTTAAAGTGACTTCAAACGAGTCATATGGAGATTATTCATTTGTGCATGTGATCGTCATCTAGTGTTACTAAATAAACCAACTTTGACTCTGAATTGTACAGGAATATGCCAGAAAAAGGCACAACATTGATCTTTGAGGTTGCTTGGTCTGTGTGGAATTTTACAAAGTAATTATTTTGAAATGTTCCTTCCTGCTGTGCGTGCTGAGTCATATTGGGTTATATTTCCATGGGTTTCAGCAGTCTTCAGCTGTACTGTATCAAATTGGCTGCTCTTTACACCCTATTCTTAGCCAGTGAGCGTTAGATCAGATCCCACACATTCTCCAAACACTTGTAGACTTCAGTTTCCTTAGTACTGTGTTTTGGCTAATATAGTCTTAGCAGGAGCCATTGGTTGGTGGTCAGGAACAGGGCTGTCAAGGTTGGGGGGGAAGAGGAGGTGTGATATGAAATTAAGAACTTTCATTGACGCTGGATGAGGTTAGTTCTGAACCAAGCAGTTGGGCAGGGAGTGTGACTCTTGACTTGAAGAAATTCTGGAGAAAGATTTCCCTGGGAACCCAAAGTGAGAAGTACAGATACCTTGTACCATTACAAGGCTATGGGAAAGGAACAGGGAAGTCTGGCTGTTGGGGATGGTTCCTTCAGTGCCTCAATACTCTCAGAATCACAGAATTATTGCAGTGCAGAACGAAACCATTTGTCCCATTTGAGTCTGCACTGGCCCACCAAATGTGTATCATAACTTAGGGCCATTATCCTGCCTTCTCCCCATTATCCTGCACATTGGGTGATTATTTAAAGAGGAACAACGCTCTCATGAATGCCTTACTTGAACTTGCCCCCATCACTGCCATGCATTCCAGGCACTAACTATTCGCTGCGTGGAAAAGCATTTTTCCCAAATTACACTTGTTTCTTTTGCAGACTAGTTTAAATTTTTGCCCTCTCATTTTCAACTCTGTTATGAATGGGGATAGTTTCTCCATGTCTATTCTGTACACACACCTTTGTGATTTTGAAAATATTCTATCAAATCTTCTCTTAGCCTTCTCTTTTCCAAGGAAAACAATTGCAACTGCTCCAATCTTTCCTCATAACTGGTATCTAATCCCTGGAACAATTCTCTTCTGCACTCCCTCATCTGGGAGCTGACAAGTGGCTTATATTGATTCAGCATAACCTCCTTGCTGTTGTACTCTGGGGCCCTGTTAATGAAACCTTTAGAATATATTGTCTTTTCATGTTCTTTACACTACACTAAAATGTATCACCTCGCACTTGTCCACATTGAGTTTCATCTGCCCACTCCACTAACTTGTGAATGTCCTTTTGAAGTTCGACACTGTCATTATCACAGTTTACAAGCCTTCCAAGTTTTGTACCATCTGCAAATTTTGAAACTGTCCCTCGCATACCAAGAAGTAGATGATTAATACATATCAGGAAAAACATGGTCCTAATTTCAACATCTGGAGAACTCCACTACAAACTTTCCTGCAGACTGAGAGATACCTTGTTGATCATTACTGTCTGTTTTGTATCACTTGGCTGATTTTGTATCCATGTTGTCGCTGTCCCTTTTATTCTTTGAGCTGTGACTTTGCTTACAAGTCTGTTTATGGCACTGTAGCAAATGTCTTTTGGAAGTCTATCAACTCTCCATTTACTTCTTCAAAGACTTCAAAGACTCCAGCAAGTCAGTTAATGATGATTTTCCTTAAGAAAGCCATTCTCATCCCTAGGTAACTCACATTTATCCATGTAACTATTTATTCTTTTGCAAATGACGGTTTCTGGAGGTATTCCCACCACTGACTGGTTAATATTTACTGAACATAACCTTATACCCTTCTTTGCAAACTTTACACTTTTGTTAATAATTCTTCAGTTGTCTGACACCTTCCTGACTCTAAACAAAACTGAAAAGTTAATGTCAGCTTCCCCCCAACAACAATTTCCACTGTCACTTTCATCAGTATCCCTGGATATATCTCATCCAGTCCCAGGGTCTTGTCAACTTTATTGACCCATTCAATACCTCATCATCAACTTTGAACCCATCCGGTGACTGACTGACTTGCCTCCTGTTTCACTGTGGTCTGGGTGACACAGCTTCCTTCATTCAATACCCCAGCCATGCCCCTTCCCCACTGCTTTTTAATATTTACATGTCTGTTGAAGACTTTGGGCATCTCTTCCATGTTAACCATCTGCCTCTTTCTGTCGTGTATAATTATGTGGTTATTAAAGAATACTGGATCTCTTCTCATTGCACATCTCCCTCCCCAACCCCATCAAAACACTTTTGCACCAGAATACCACGGTATAATGTTCAAGGAACATTGCAGTTACAGTGTGGAGTATGCAAAACACCTTGAGGTTAAAAACCTGTGGACAAATAACAGTTTCTTGTTTTAACTGACCATGCTTTCATAGTAAAATGTCATTAAGTATGCATGGAAAGAAACCTGTCAGTACCAAACTCACCAGAACAGCTCTAAAAATGAAACTTAAACTGTGCCCACCCCCCCACTTCTTAACACACAAAATTCAAAATATAAATTAAACTTAAAGCCATAAAACATTCCTAATCTTGAAAGTGGAGTTGCGGATAGGCAGGATAGTGAAGAAAGCATTTGGTATGCTTTTTTGGCTGTACACGACATTGGTTAGACCACTATTGGAATACTGCATGCAGTTATGTTCTCCCTGCTGTAGGAAGGATGTTGTGAAACTTGAAATGGTTCAGAAGAGATTTACAAGGATGTTGCCAGGTTTGGAGGGTTTGAGCTATACAGAAAGGCTGAATAGGCTGGGGCTATTTTACCTGGAGTGTCAGAAGCTGAGGGGTGACCATAGAGGTTTATAAAATCATGAGTATGAATAGGGTGAATAGCCGAGGTCTTTTTCCCCGGAGTGGGAGCGTCCAAAACTGGAGAGCATAGGTTTAAGATGTGAAGGGAAAGATTTAAAAGGAACCTAAGGGGCAACATTTTCACACAGAGGGTGATGTGTATATGAAATGATTTGCCACAGGAAGTGGTAGAGGCTGGTACAATTACAGCATTTAAAAGGCAACTGGATGGCTATATGAATAGGAAGAGTTAGAGGGATATGGGCCAAATGCTGGCGAATGGGACTTGATTAATTTAGGATATCTGGTCGGCATGGACGAGTTGGACTGAAGGGTCTGTGTCTGTGCTGTGCAGCTGTGTGACTGTCTGTCTCTAATTTAAAAAATGCTTTGTTAGAATACATGATGAGCAAAGTTTGAAATGTGATTTGTTGTGGCTTGTCTTTGCTGATGCCATTTTAATAGCAACTGGATTGTGGCAAGAATTGTTACACAGAAAGGTGTATACTTAACTTATGGGTCTCTGATGTTTTGGAGTACAGTCAAGCCGCTTCCTTATTACTCCAGTTTGAAAAGCTGTGCTCTCCAAGATACTTGTAACCATTTCTGGTGTGTTAAATAGCCTCCAGTCATGTTAAGAGATAACAGTGTGGAGCTGGAGGAACATAGCAGGCCAGGCAGCACCAAAGGAGCGGGAAAGTTGACGTTTTGGGTTGGTACCCTTCTTCAGACCCTTCTTTTTTCTGAAGAAGGATCCCGATCCAAAACGTCGACTTTCCTGCTCCTCTGATGCTGCCTGGCCTGCTGTGTTCATCCAGCTCCACACTGTGTTATCTCTGACTCCACCATCAGTGGTTCTTACTATCTCCAGTCATATTAACATGCATTTGCTGCTCAACTGTTGCATGTTTTCACACAGCGGAGTTTACTGTAGTACTATACACTAAACAGAAGGAGCAGAAAAAAACATTGGAGTTCCAATTGACTAACAAATCATCTCTTTTTCATTCAGTAAAGGGAGACGACCTACCATAATCCTTCGGACCCAGCTTTCTGTAAGAGTTCATGCCATTATAGGTGAGTGGAATATTCTTCTTTTGCAGGTGTTGGAACTTACATAGGAAACATGACCCGTCCATGTAATTTTTTTGTCATTATATGGTTTTTGTTTCATATTTGGGTTAAAGGTAAAGTCATAATATTTCAAATTAGATTCTCCATCTTTCCAAGAATATTTGTGAAGCATTTGTGTGGAACTGTAGGGACCTTGTCGATTGTAATGCTTGAATGAATATAGTGCATTTCAATAGAACAAACCATTAAAATGAGTTATGTTGATATCTATCACTTATTCAGCAGCTGGTTCTAATATGGCTAGATGTTATTATGACTGGCATCATTATGCTTTAGAGATCTTGTTGCAATGCCAAAGGCAGGGACAATGTTACTTTTGAGGGCTAATTTTATGCATTACTGTGTTATCTTGGCATGTAATGTATTGCTGTTTACATAATGGTTGAGTTTTTCCATTTACCCAGATTGACTTTTTGTTTTAAGTTGCTCCTGCTGTCTGTATCCAGACCTCAGCTGGGGCCTTGTTTACTGGCCCCGTTTAATGGTTGCCATGGCAGAAACATAATGTCCTGAATGTACATCAACTTGATATGCTGAAAAGGAAGTGCAATTTAACTTGCATGTTATTTATTTTCTCTGACAGTTTCTCTAATTTATTTTCTTCTCCAATTCTAAGCACTAGTGACAGCAATACAGTGGCATTTTAAAAGAAAGATTTACACAATTATTTAGCCTTGTTCACAACTTGAGGACATCTTAATATGTTTTATAGCCAGTCAAGTACTTTTAAGCTGTAGTTGCTATTGATTTGCAAAAATTGTAGCAGCCAGTTTGCAGGCAGCAAAGTCCCACAAACAGCAATGAGATGAGGCCAATTAATTTGTTACAGTAATTTTTTCGAGGGATATATATTGACCTGGACGCAGGGAAAATTTCCTTGCTCTCCTTCAAAATAGAGCCGGGGGTATTTGATATTTCCACCGAGGAAGTTAGTCAGGGTCTTGGTTCAGCATCTCATCTAAAAGATGGTATATTCAACTCTGCAGTGCTGCCTCAGCAATGCACTGGAATGCCACTTGAACCGACTGTGTTCTGACTTTGAAACAAGAGTGTTGAGTACTCCATCATTGGCAGTACTCCATGTTGTGAAATGATGCTTTGCACAGTGCTCATTAACTCTGTGTTAACCATTACCTGGAGTAGCTCCTCTTTCTGACGTGGTGGTCTTTGCTGCATTTGCTGTAGAGCAAGCCTGTGGTCTGGGAAGGTACACAATTCACTAGCCTCTCTTTTCTCTGGGTCCATTTCTTGTCCAGATGTAATATTGTTTTTTTTTTGTTCTCCTCTTCCACTGCTCTTCAGAAAGTCCACTTCCAGAGGATCTCAGTGACAGTTGCCCATTTACCAGGGCCAATAGGGCTAGGGTTAAAGTTATCACTATCTTGATTGCTGGTGTCCTTTTCAGAGGCTGTGACCCAGTTCACTGTATAGAAAGTCTTTAGCTGCCAGCCATCCCACGTATATGGTTGAGCCAGTGCACGCTTTGTTGATTTAGAAAATGAATCAATTAGCACACTCCAGGCCTTCAGAGCTGCTGACCTTATCCTGCCAGGAAATGCTACAGGTAGGTCTTGCTCTTAATTCACCACGTTGGGATTCGAACCCGAGATCCCAGAACATTCCCTGGGTTTCGGGATTACTAATCTAGTGATAATACCATGAGGCTGACTCCTGAGCCCAGCAAATGGTGTCCAAGTCTCACCTTTGTGGAGGAGCGCACTGATAATTCAGGTTTGATAGAGGTTGCTATTGTTACACAGTCTTACGCTCTTGGACATAGCAGCTGCAGCTTTTCCAGCTGAGCCATGACTAACAATGCAGTTATCGGTTTTCAGGCAGGAGCCTCGATAGTCAGCACTTACCCACTGTGTCCTTGGAGGCTCTGAACATGCTGGTCAGTGTATGGAAGCATTGGCTTCTGGTTCTGGAAACTATTGCCATGCATGGACCTCAGAGACTCACACAGCAGCAGGATAGAGGCATGGCGGGTGTTGGAGTTAAAACTTGTTTGCATTGTCATCCAGCAATCATTACATTGTAGTAAAGTCACTCCATTACAAGCCAGGCTGAAAACACAATATGTTTTTTCTTATCTTTCGCAGACCATTATTGAGGTCTTACTCTTTTCCATGTCTCTAATGAAGTGTACCAAATTTCCAGGAATGCTTTTCTTCTCTCCTATTAGTAGGCATGACATACCAAATAATCTACATTTGTTTTAAAAAAGAAAGTACTGTATATTTAGGCAGAGACTTTGACCTGGAAGTAATACCATAAGGAACATCAATAATTTCTTTAAAATGCATGCACAATATGTAACTGTTTTGAAGAACTTTTGAAATAACTTCTAAGAGGTTGCATCAGTTGTAAAAGAGATCAATTTTATCTTTCTTGGATAAGAAGAGGTCCATGAAACATGACAACCATTGACCCAGATATTGTACCATCAGAAAGGAAGTCAAGGTGCAGATGCCATGTGGCAAATGCAAAGGAGATTCGTCGACAAAAAAGATAACTAAAAGCAAAAGAACGGGACGATAATGAAGTCTCAAGTATGAAGCAGACAGGGCCAAAAAGATGAATGCATGCATTTTAATTTTGTGGGCAAAAGGAGCAATTTACTCTGAGGAAGAAGTTAACTTTGTTCTTTGGCAAACAAGGATACAAGAGCTCATCAAGACTCTGTGAGCTAGTTAAAAAAGACCTAGAACCTGGAAAGCTGTGTGAATAGCAAAAGTGTTTATTCCCAGAGGTGGCCAAACCGTGAAGCAGCATGTTATTCGTTGATCATTGATTGGAAAGTTACTACATTAGGATTGTCATGCCTGAGGGAGAGAGGTGTCATATGACATGCTGAGAGGAAAGCTCTTGTATATTAGTTGTGTCAACTATTTAAAGTGTAATTTACCCATTTATCTGAAGTACCGTTTGCCTGTTCATTCACATTTAATTTGTGTTGGTTCTGATTCATGTTATAAGTAAAAACTCAGGTAAGTGGAATCTTAAACAAAAACAGAAATTCCTGGATAATCTCAGCAGGTCTGGCAGTATCTGTGGAGAGAAACCAGAGTAAATCTTTTGGGTCCCTTCAGAACACTGGCATAGTGGAATTTTGTTGGCAGTTTCTTTACTCGGGTCATTTAGTAAATTTAGCAAGTTTTGGTTTATGGTCTGCCCGCGGGGAATTTAATATATGCATCGTTTCCACTTAGCGAGCAATATCATTGGCAGACTGCCTTCCTAAGTAGCTTTGTTGCATCCTATAAATCACTGAAGGTTTGTCTGAAGGAAGCTTGTGAAATATAAAAGCATATATTGTTTGATTTTTTTTTTCTTTTAAGTTGATATTTTGATATTTTCTTGATATTGTGTTTGATATCTTCTTCCATGGGTTGGCAGGGTGGTTCAGTGGTTAGCATTGCTGCCTCACCGTGCCTGGGACCCAGGTTCGATTCCACCCTCGGGTGACTGTCTGCCACCCTCCACACTATCTGTGTGGAGTTTGAACATTCTCCCTCTGTCTGTGTGGGTTTCCTCCGGGTGCTCCGGATTCCTCCCGCAGCCCAAAGTTGTGCAGGTTAGGTGGATTGACCATGCTAAATTACCCTTCATTTCCAGGGATATACGGGCTAAGTGGATTAGTGATGGGAAATGCAGGGTTACAGGGACAGAAGAAGGGTCCAGACCCGAAACGTCAGCTTTCCTGCTCCTCTGATGCTGCCTGGCCTGCTGTGTTCATCTAGCTCTACACCTTGTTATTACAGGGATAGGGTTGGGGGCTGAGATGCTCTTCCAGGGGTCAGCGTGGACTCAATGGGCTGAATGGCCTGCTTCTGCACTGTAGGGATACTATGATTCTATGAGTTAAAACCAAGAATACAGTACATATAAATTAAATCTGTAAAATTGTGGGGATTTTTAAAGGGGGGAAACACGAAGCTGATTCCAAATTTCATTGTAAAGTTTCACTTTTGTTTTAAATTGAAGAGGTAGGTAATAATTCGGTAAATAGTATGATTAATGCAAATGGGAGCAAATAAGGAAATGGGATTCTGTAATGTGCTTTCTGAATCAGTATGCTAATGGAACAATAAAAACAGATTGAATGCAAAACCTCTTGTAAGCATTTGGACTGATATTGACAGAAGAACCTGGGTCTTTTCACTTCGTTGACCTCTTACCTGGGAAAGAAGGGAAAGTATATTAGATTACTGGTGAGACTGATAGAGACAGATTAACGATAATGTTGGCTCAGTTTTGTGGGGCCCGTGGAGGGAGAGGTGTTATTGGATTTCCCTAGAGTATATTTATGTCCTGAAATAAAGTCACTGGAGCTGCCATTGTGGAGCTTATTTCTCTACTTATCATTGCATACTACAACTAAGAGAGTTTTTCGTTTTTTTTTGACAACAGACCTCAAGTGCAGAGTCATAGAGATGTACAGCAAAGAAACAGACCCTTCGGTCCAACTCGTCCATGCTGACCAGGCATCCCAGTCTGACCTAGTCCCATTTGCCAGCATTTGGCCCATATCCCTCTTAAACCCTTCCTATTCATATACCCATCCAAATGCATTTTTAAATATTGTAACTGTATCAGCCTCCACCAGTTCCTCTGGCAGCTCATTCCATACACGCCCCACCCTCTGTGTGGAAAAAGTTATCCCTCAGGTCCTTTTTAAATCTTTCCCCTCTCACCTTAAGCCTATGCTCTCTAGTTTTGGACATGTCCCATCCTCACAAAAAGACCTTGGCTATTCATCCTGTCCATGCCCCTCATGATTTTATAAACTTGTATTAGGTCACCCCTCAGCTTCTGATGCTCCAGGGAGAATAGTGCCAATCTATTCAGCTTCTCCCTATAACTCAAACCCTCCAGTCCTGGCAACATTATTGTAAATCTTTTTCTGCACCCCATCATGTTTAACAACATCTTTCCTATAG